TGCTTGGCAGGACTGGGAAGTGCCGAAGAAGTGAGAAATGTGGGCCTGCATAACACAGCTTCCCCCAAAAAAGTAATCTAAGGTACGGGTGACTATAAAGCTGGAGAAATCTACAGAACACTGCCCTGTGCTGCTGGCTTCCAAGGGGCAGCCCCCCAAGGCTGCGAGTCGGGGGAGCGGCTGCTCCTGTGGCAGGCCACTGCGGGCGGGGAGGCCGCACAAAAGGAGGGACCGAGCCCTGTTACCATGAGATACAGCAGCAAGGCCAAGGCCATGAACACTCCGCAAACGTGCCTTTGCCTTCCCTCCCCTACCTGCCCCACCTGCTGGAGACCGTCTGCTCCAGGTCACTTCCTCAGGGGCGGCTCCAGGTGGGGCAGGGTTGGGGGGGACAGCTCAGCCTAGAAGGGTCCTTGACAGGTAAGATAGTTTATTTTTTCATTTTTACATATCACACATACAGAAGTATGTAGAAAACATACACTCCGTTTTTAAGTTAATGGTAAATGAGCGATAACACACATCCAGCGCCCACTGAGGTCTGAATGAACTGGTGGCCAGGACCATCCGCACTGCTGGCTCCTTCCCTGTCACCCCTCCCCCTGCAGATGCCATCGTCCTGACATTGCGAGCACTGTGTCCTGTTGTCCCTTGCAATCACTCTTCCCATGTGCTCAGCAACAGTCCTCCGTGCAGGCCACAGGGACAGCTGCACCCCACAGCAGACAGCGGCGAGATAGGGCGCAAGGGCGTGAGCTGCACCCCTGACAGCAGACAGCGGCGAGATGGGGCGCGGGCTGCACCCCTGACAGCAGACAGCGGCGAGATGGGGCGCAGGGGTGCGGGCTGCACCCCTGACGGCAGACAGCGGTGAGATGGGGTGCGGGGGCGCGGGCTGCACCCCTGACGGCAGACAGCGGCGAGATGGGGCGCGGGGGCGCGGGCTGCACCCCTGACGGCAGACAGCGGGGCTGTGGGAACAGGCTGTGTAGTGTCAAGAGGGAGGTGCCCTGGTCCCCACAGGACTAGAGTGGCCTGTTGGAGTAGTTCTGCAGGCTAGAGGGCACTAACCCTCCACTCAGGAATAAGCAAGAACCACACTCGGTCACTTGGAAGAGGGTCGCTCAGTGAGGGGCTGTCCCGGGAAGGACTGGAGAGGTGAGCTTCCGCTCGCGTCAGCCAAGGCCCCCTATTTGCCAGATGACACGGCAGTGGGTAACACTGAGCCTTAGACCTTACACCACAGGTACATGTGTCCCTTTGTGGCTTTCTGTTCCCCCTCTTTAGATTCTTTTAATGAACACAGATTCTTGATAGTTGGTACTTTTCATATCTTAATTAATTCTTCACTACCCCAAAGTCAAAGCTATTCTCTATATGATTTTCCGAAAGCTTTACTGTTTGGCCATCAGTTTGACCCTGAATCTAAACACAAAGAAAGTATATCAAATACACCCCACCTTCCGCTCCTGGAGGGAGACCAAGCCCTCAGCCCTTGCTGTCTTCTCCCTGTGAGGCTGCTCAGCACCGCCCTCTGACTGCGGGCAACACAGGCCTCCGGCCGCAGCTGCTGGCACCCCTTGGGGACGGTCCTGCCGGGGTTCACCCAGCCACTCCCAGCTCCGCCAGCACTGCGGGCACAGGCTCACGCGGTCCTGCTGGGTGCAGAGGAGCTGGCTGTGGGGTCACAGGAGAAAGGACTCTGCTTCCTGTCTCCTCAGCTCTTTCGGATGGTCCCCAGGATCTCGGGGAGCCTCAAGAGAAAGCATGGGAGATGTACAATTTGGAATTTAGGAGAAGCATTTTGAGCAAAACTCAGAAAAGCAACGATTGTTGCTCAAGCAGCACAGACATAGCAAGTGGGATAGAGACCCTCCCTCCTCCAACAGGGAGAGTCTGTTCCCCAGGACGCATGCGGCGGTGACGGTGGCCCGGCCCGGCCCCAGGCTGCTGCTCTTGGAGAAGCAGAGCTCAGCTCCTTCAAGGGGCAGTTCGAGTGCAGATATGATTGACTCTCCTGTAAACACTGGAGTTCACATTTTTAAATTATCGTTGTGTGTTGGTCCCAGCACATGGAAATGGCATAAGCGTAACCTAACGGCAGACACATCCATGCATGGACTCCCCCAGCTGCCCCAGCCTGCGCCCCTCCACTCGGTGTCCCTTCGTTCTGTGTGCAACCGGTAGCCTGGGGCCCGTGGCCCTCCGGCCTGTCAGAGAGCTCACCACCCCGCCGTACCCTCTCAGGGGAGGTGGGGTTCCGACTGACTGGCTCTTGAAGAGAAGACCCTGGGCTGACCTCGTTACCATTTTCAAGTATCTGAAAGTCTTTAAGAAGAAAGATGACTGTCATCTGTGAGCATGAGTCATCTTCTGAAAAACTAAAGGAATGGGCTTAAAATAAAATCAAGAGCATCAGAAGAACTTGGAGGAAGCCAGAGTGAGATGATAGTGATGCTGGAGGGGGCTCGGCAGTCTTTGTCCCAGAGATGAGAACGGGAGCATCCAGCTATGAGCCCAGGGGCCTCTGGGGTCCCCCTCACCCCCCGTCCTCCATCAGCCACCAAGTGGTGCCACCTGCCTCGCACCCCTCACACACTGGCTGCAGGAGGGGACTTGCCTGCGTTGTTGTGTGTTTCCCCAGCGCCCAAAGCAGTGGCCTCTCCCTCTCCACCCCTCCCCGTGCCTTTGCAGAGTGACTGTCCGAGCCTGGCTCCTGTGGGCCTTCCTCCTCAGCCTGCTGGAGGGTCTCTGCACTGTGAGCGCAGTCCTGCACGCCCTTCCTGCAGGACCCTCAGAACCCTCTGCTCAGGATTGTCCCCTCACTTCTATGAGGCCACTGTGCTCTGGCCCTGCTTCCCTGTGCAGCCCCCCCACCCCACCCCTGCCACCGCCCCCTGCAGTGCTGTGCAGCGCCCCCCCACCGCGCCCCTGCAGTGCTGGGCAGCGCCCCCCCACCACGCCCCTGCAGTGCTGTGCAGGCCCCCCACCTCCACGCATCTGTGCCTGCTGTGCCCCCCCAGACCACCCTGCTGCCTGCACACAGTCTTGTCCCCCAGATCCGCTCGAGGCCTTTGCCCTGTGGGAGTTGTCCCGGGAGACTCCTGCCCAGCATGCGGTGCTCTCTGGCCACCTGTCTGCACTCTGCCCCTGTGCTGTCAGCACGTCAGCACGTTTCTCTGCAGCCAAGCACCACTCGATGACAGCATGGGGGTGACAGAGGCAGACAGCCCCGGCCCTCCAGAAGCTCCCTCTGGAGGGAAGCGGGTACAGTGCGCATGTCAACACATGAGTGAGCAGAACAACTTCGAGTCCTTCCACAAGCGGGCAGCGGCCTGCAGCCAGGCCTGCATTTACTGGGTGTTTGCCCTGTGCCCTGTCAGCAGCGTGCAGAGGGCTGAGCCAGCCTTCAGCCCACGCTCTTGGCTCTCACCCACGTGGCCACGATGAGGGCTGGTCCCTCGTAGGCCTTCCTGTCCAGGCAAAGACGAGCTGACCACTACAGGCTGGCCTAGCAGAGGGGCGCAAAGCCAGAGAAGCCAGGGTGAGGGTGCCATTCTGCACAAGGGGCTGTCAGAGGATGTGACTTCGAAGCAGGGACCTGCAGGACACATAGAGAGGGTGCCGCTGGGAGAAGACCCAGACAGGAGCAGGGCTGACAAATGAGAGAGGAAGCTGTGCCTGGAGAAGTGCGGGAGCAGAGCAGGCAGACGGCCGGGGTGGGGCCCAGCGTGAGCCCCGATGGCCGTGCTTCATCCCAGGAGCGATCGGGAGCCCACAGATGGTTTGAAGCAACTTGGTGACTTGGTCTGCTCCAGACCTTTGGGAGAACAAGTCAGACAGGGACAGGAATGGGAGTGGATAGGCCAGCTTGGCCAGTCCTTTCCAAAGACAAGAGATGCTGGTGGTCCAGACGGGCATAGAGGCCTTAGACATGGAGAAGTGAGTGGATCTGAGAAAACTTGAGGGAAGAAAATCTCATAGGACTGGGATGTTCTCTGGATGTGAAGATGACGACGGGAGGGGAGAAGCCAAGGATGCCGCTTGGGTGTCTGGTCTGGCAAGTGACTGGTTGGCAGTAGCACATATGGGGCCGAAGAACACGAGAGGAGAAGGTGTGGGTACAGAACAATGATGTTGGGGATCTGTGTGAATCTTCAGTCCCCGGGGGCTCTGAGTGGCAATTGGCAGGCCAAGCCAGGGCACACACAAGAGATGCCCAGGTGTACACATTTCCTAGTGTGTACAGGTCGTGTTTGAGGCTGCAAGAGAGGGCAGTGTACTGAGGGAGCCCAGAGAGATATGCACCTGCCTGTCCTCTCTCCACGGAATTTCACCCACACTTGCCAGTAAGGGAGCCGCTAGCCATGTGTGGCCATTTACTTTTCCAGTCAATTAAAATTAGATACAACTAAATATTGAGCCTCAGTCACACCAGCACATTCCCAGCACCCAGGAGCCATGTTGCTAGTGCCTTCCTCGGTGGCAGCCCACAGCTCTGCTGCACGATGCTCCAGCTCGAGGCTGTCTCTGCTCGTCTCTACAGTGCACAGGCACTCAAACAGGTGCAACTCCTCCAACCAGGACCTCTAAGAAGTAAACAGGCAGCCATCTGCAGGCATAAAGGTCAGAAAAGGAAGCCCATGTGCTCTTCAGAGCCATTCAAATGGCCTTGCTCTGGACCCCACGCTGCCCTGGCCAGAATGCAGGCGTCGGGCGGTGGGCTCCTCAAGCCGGAGAACTGTGCGTGTCGTCTGACTTGACTCTGGCTTCCTGCTGGGCCATGGGCAGTAGCACATGTGCATTTGAGCAGGTAAAACCTTTTAGACTACAATTCAGAATTACAGAGAGAAGGATTAAAGGTCTTCACCGAAAATCAGATCTGGAACTTTTTATTTCTAAAACCAGTTCTGAATGGTAATGAATGTTTAGCTTTTGCTTTTGCTTTGGTTCTCCATCTTTGCTGAGTGTATACCTTTATTCTTTATTTTATTTTTCAGTCAGATGTCATGGATCAAAATTTGTTAAATTTCCTTCCCGAACAAGAACATTCAGAAGTTTATAAGATCCTCTCTTCCCGTGTGCTTGTGACGGACTCCCCCTCCCCAGGATACTTAAAATGTAAGTTTAACTTCAATGGTTTTACCAGATATAAAGGTAAGATTTTTACTTTTGAAAGGAGATTAGGACAAATTAACAAGGGAGGACTAATTTTAAGAATAATTTTCATTATGGGAGGACATATTTGCCAAGGATACATCAGATAAAGGGTTAATATCCAAAATATATAAAGTACTCTCACAACTCAACAAAATCAAGACAGTCCAATCTAAAAATGGGCAGGGGACTTGAATACATCATTCTCCAAAGTGGACATACAAATGGCCAAGAGACATATGAAAAAATACTCAACATCACTAATCATCAGAGAGATGCAAATTAAAACAACAATGAGGTATCACTCACACCTGCCAGAATGGTTGCCATCAATAAATCATCAAACAAGTGTTGGCGAGGGTGTGGAGAAAAGGGGACTCTAGTGCACTGCTGGTGAGAATGTAGACTGGTACAGCCACTATGGAAAACAATATGGTGTTACCTCAAAAAATTAAACATGGCCCAGCCGGTGTGACTCAGTGGTTGAGGATTGACCCATGCACCAAGAAGTCACCAGTTCAATTCCTGGTCAGGGCACATGCCCAGGTTATGGGCCCAATCCCCAATGGGGGCCATGCAGTAGGCGGCCAATCGATGTTCTCTCTCATCGATGTTTCTATCTTTCTGTCCCTCTTCGTTCCTCTCTAAAAATATCAATAAAGAAAAAATAATTATTTTAATTAAGAATGAAACTGCCATTTGACCCAGTGATCCCACTTCTAGGAATATACCCTAAGAAGCCTAAAACACCAATCAAAAAGAGAATATATGTACCTCTATATTCATTGCAGTACTATTTACAATAGCTAAGATCTGGAAACAGCCCAAGTGTCCATCAGTAGATGAGTGGATGAAAAAGCTGTGGTACATGTACACAATGGAGTACTATGCAACTGTAAGAAGATCTCTTACTCTTTGAGATGACATGGAGGGACCTGGAGAGTATTATGCTAAGCGAAATAAGCCAGACAGAAAAAGACAAATACCACATGATCTCACTTTCTTGTGGAATCTAATGAACAAAATAAGCTGATGAACTAAATCAATCCAGAAACATGGAAGTAGGGAACAGACTGACAACTTCAGAGGGAAGAGGGGCCACAGGGGAGGGAAGAGATACACCAAAGAACTGATGTGCATGTGTGCATGACCAGCGGACACAGACAACAGTGTGGGGAAGGCAGGAGGAGGTGGAAGCGGGGAAGAAAGGGGTCGGGGGGGGGGAGGCATCAGTGATACTTTCAACAATACAGATAAATAAAAGTTTTTTAAAAAAAGAATAATTTTTCTTGTGCCTCAGAACATTTCCAAGATTCTCATAAGTAGATTTTAAAGTTTAAAACTAAAACTAGAGTTTGGGATATCTAAGACATTTAACTTGTATGTGGAAAATTGGAAAGCATACAGTTTAAGAATAATTTATTTTGCATGTAATGCAAGAGCTTTCTTCTTTTCACATGAGTCTTTAAGTAATAAACAGTGCAAAAATTAGTTAACAATCTGCTTATTTTGAGGACACTGTAATGCTAGATTTGTATGATACCAAGTAACAAAATAAAACCTGAATAATTAAGTCAAAAATCCAAATTCTTTTCTCCCAAAACTTTGATTGGATTATTTATGTGCATTTTCAGTTTTTATGGAACTTCTAAGTTTTTGTCAAAATTGGCGACCTGGCTAGAAGGCTGGCCTCGGTGCCCAGGGAGCCGTGCCGCTTAGATACGCCGATGGAGATGGGAGCTCCCTGCGCGTTCCCGCCTGCGTCCAATTCCATGAGCAGTCGCCCTGCTGTTCTCTGATTTCACTGCAGAGTAAAGCGGAAAGATGAAATTAAGTAGAGCAGCTGTATATGCGCAGGTTTATTTTAATATACCATCTGAAAGCTACTGGAACTAATCGATGCCGACAACCAACCACAGACATTTGTGAGCAAAGGAACACTAGTTGGGTCCCAGCAGGGAATGTAAAATATCTGTAGCTGTGGGGGGCAAAGCCTGTGGCACAAAGGCCATGAAACCATGTCCGAAGGCCAGCTGTAATGAGGGAAATGCCCTCACCATGTGCAGACCACCCCTGAGAGTCCCGCAGAGATGCGGCTTGTTTCACGTACAGTGTGTAACGCTCGCCTTCTCTCTCTCTTGTTCTTTAACGACCCAGCTGACAACGACGTAGAGTTTTATTGCCATCTTCTCAGAGGCAGCTTGAACCCAAAGGAATTTCCAACTTATGAATACATAAAATTTGTAGGAAATTTCCGCTCCTACAACAATGGTAAGCTTCAATTGTTTGCAATTGTGCCAGTGTCTTTTATCATGCAACTGTGAACAGGGGGACAAAAGAATCCCGAGGTAGGAGGCAGGAGGATCTGTGTTTTTCATGTTTGCATTTGGGTATTCATGTTCCAAAGAGGCATTTTTTTGTGCTTGTAAATGTTGTCTTCCTTTCGAGAGGACGCGGCCACACCTGTTATGCAGTGTGCCGAGCCCACTGAAATCCACATTATTCGTTATGTACTTGCCAGCTGATGGAACAGTTCTACAGTGAGAGACAACTTACAGTTAACAGAGAGCAGGCTCAGCCCACACGGAGCCGAATGGCTCCCTGGCTTGACGACCCCAACCTTGCTGCCCCTTTCCGCAGCTGCTGTGAGCAGGCCTTAATAGCTGGGGTCCACGGGCCTTTCCCTCACTCTGGCCCCTAATGCGCAGTAAGTGGCCAGCAATCTACATTGGGTGAATGGCCAAGCAGGATAAGTCAAGTGGTCAAGTTGTCCTTTCTGAAATTACCCAGGCAAATAATTGTCCAAGTTCTGACTGCTGTAAACCAGATAAACACTCAGTTTACTGCTAACCCCTGCAAATGGGCAGGCAGACCTGATGCCAGCACACAGCCCACGCGGAGCCCCACGCGGAGCCCCAGCGCAAAACAAATAGCTTTGAAAGATCTGGCATTTCAGATAACAGCAGAGATGGGGAAAGTAGAAGGAAGTGTTGATAGAGAATGGTGGAAAGAGAAGAGAGAAGGAAAAAATACCAAGGAAAACATACAGAAAGATGAGCCTTGGATGAGAGGGTGGGTGGGCAAGTGGAGGCACCGGGAGTTGGTGGCAGTGCTGACTCGTGCTGTTTGGTTGCTGCTATTTAAGGCTGGGTCCCCTGGCAAGTTCAGTGGCCTCAGTCAAATCAGTCGGAGAGTCTCCATGCGAACCTGCCACATAACCAGGTTTGCCTTCAGCCTCAGGGGGCCCGCTAAGTAAAATATACATGCTTTGTTTAAAAGGCTGTAGCTAGCCCTGGCCCAATTGGTGCAGTGGCTAGAGCATTGCCCATGGACCAAAGGGTCTCAGGTTCGATTCCGGTCAAGGGCACATACCTGGGTTGCAGGTTGATCCCCGGCCCTGGTTAGGGTCTTGCAGAGGCAACCAGTGTGTCCCTCTCACATCAATGTCTCTCTCTCTCTCTCCTCTTCCCTCCCTTCCAGTCTATCTAAAAATTAATGGAAAAATGTCCCCAGGTGAGGATTAACAAAATAATAAATTAATTAAATCGATAAATAAGTAGCTCAAACTAGATGCTAAAACAGCATGATCCTGTCAACCCGATTTCCAGGCCCAGTGTTCAGGACTTAGGCCTGGATGATGGGCTCTATGGCTAACTTGGGACCTTTTGGGAACCTGCCCATACAGGGCTCAGCGTGTTTGAGTGGTTGGAAGTGATGGAAGGTCCTCTTCCCAAGCGGGCCCCTAAATCTGAGCAAAGCAGATAAAGAAAGCCAAGACCTGACCAGTTAGGCTGCCCCATCGGAAAGGCTCCGCCAAACCTCTGCAGATGAGGGTAGAATGAACCGCAGCCGTCAGTCCACAGCCGTTCGCTGGGACGCCAGGTAAAGAGAGTGACCTGAGAGGCGCCTCAGAGAAAACCCCATGATACCAACCCTGTGCTGTAAGGCGTGGGGTGAGGCAGTATGTGAAGTGCACGTTCTGGGGTGCTGTCTGAGGTTCCAGTACAGGAGGTCTGTGGGGGGGCTGGGATTGTGTGGTGGGACAGAACCTTGGGGCTCTGATGCAAGGGTCCTGGACTTCGAGAAACACTGCCCTGTTGTGATACTAAATGCCATTCCAGAGGGGTTTTCCTGAGACTCCTATGGATCGTGGCATGCCTTACGAACAACTTACCCTTGGATTAAAGTAGGCGGTAGTTTGGAATTTGCTCGTAGCATGTGCTGTGGCCACAATGCCAGGGGCTGGGAGAGCAGTGTGTGCCACACGCAAGGAAGGGAAGGTGCTCTGGCCCCCAGAGCGCCAGGACTGTGAGGTTCACGGGGTGCTGCGCCCACACAGCGGTGCACGCTCTTCATTGAAAGAACAGACCTAGGATTGGCTGGTGAGCAGCAGTGTGTCCTTTGTACGTTTCCATTCCCATGACTCTCATCAAGAGGCTGCTGAGTCATTCTGAGCCTTCCTGTCATTGATCACATTTCGGAGTTTCAAGGAGAGTCAGTCTTCGTGGTGACTACCCAGCATTTTCTATTAACTGACAAGGCTTTTTTTCAGTTCAAGTTGAGACAATGTTTGTTTGCCTGAAAGAATGTGTGAAATTATGTGTGATTTTTTTACTGTTGACTCTATTGCAGGTGTCCCCTATTTTCCCCACCTTTGCCTCCTTCCACCCCATCCCCACCCGCAGGCCCTCCCCATACTGTGGTCTGTGTTTACGGGCTGTGCGTATATGTGGACATGTCCTTCGGCTGATCTCTTCCTGCCTCCTCCACCCCTCCCCTGTGAGATCAGTCTGCCTCCATGAGTCCAGCTCTGGTCTCTGTGGGAAATCATTGCTGCTATAAACACAGCATTCAAAGTGGGAAGTTCCAAAGCAGGAGCGACAGGTGACTCTCCAGGGCCTGGTGACAACCAGAGCTGGCAGGAGCTTTCTTGAGACAAGTCTCCCGATGTCATTGTGGGAAACCTGAAATATAATCTGACGGGGGTTACAATAGACAGGAAGAAGCATCCGGGAGACCAATGAGCAGCTAAGGTGGAGCCCTGTGAATCACCAACCACCATTTTGACCTGTAAAATATGGTTTAACCTAATACAAGAAATAATTCAAATTTGATTTTGTAGGTTTACTTCTAAATAAATATTGAACAATTGTTTACAGTAAATAGCTCATTTTAGAGGGATTTCTTTTGTGCTGTGCTCTGGGTTCAGTCTTTGCCTTGACCATCTCGTTGAACCCTCGTGAGACCGTTAGGAGGCGGTATTGTTTCATTGTCTCATCTTAACAGTAGAGGCAGCGGATGCATAAGAAAGTGAAGTCGGAGCTGCACAGGTGGGGAGGCGGAGACCCACATTCATACCCTTCTAGCCCTGAACTCACGCTTAACCCAGTGCTTTGCTGCCGCCCACACATCTGTGCTGAAATTAAATATCCAGATGCAGAGCACAGGCCTGCCCCCACCTGGCACTGGTCCGGCACGTCCGTATCTGTGTGCATCAGACATCCTGCCCCCATGTACCTGCTGTCCAAGGGTATCCAGGATTGGTTTAAGTTAAAGATGATAAGACACACGACAGGCAATGGCGTCCTGAGGAGGAGGTGACCGCACAGGTCCAGGTGTAACACACGACAGGCAATGGCGTCCTGAGGAGGAGGCGACAGCATAGGTCCAGGTGACACACACGACAGGCGATGGCGTCCGGAGGAGGAGGTGACAGCACAGGTCCAGGTGACAACACACGACAGGCGATGGCACCCGGAGGAGGAGGTGACCGCACAGGTCCAGGTGTAACACACGACAGGCGATGGCGTCCTGAGGAGGAGGTGACCACACAGGTCCAGGTGATAACACACGACAGGCAATGGCACCCGGAGGAGGAGGTGACCGCACAGGTCCAGGTGTAACACATGACAGGCGATGGCGTCCTGAGGAGGAGGCGACAGCATAGGTCCAGGTGACACACACGACAGGCGATGGCGTCCGGAGGAGGAGGTGACAGCACAGGTCCAGGTGACAACACACGACAGGCGATGGCACCCGGAGGAGGAGGTGACCGCACAGGTCCAGGTGTAACACACGACAGGCGATGGCGTCCTGAGGAGGAGGTGACCGCACAGGTCCAGGTGACAACACACGACAGGCGATGGCGTCCTGAGGAGGAGGTGACAGCACAGGTCCAGGTGACAACACACGACAGGCAATGGCGTCCTGAGGAGGAGGTGACCGCACAGGTCCAGGTGATAACACACGACAGGCGATGGCGTCCTGAGGAGGAGGTGACAGCATAGGTCCAGGTGATAACACACGACAGGCGATGGCGTCCTGAGGAGGAGGTGACAGCATAGGTCCAGGTGACAACACACGACAGGCGATGGCGTCCTAAGGAGGAGGCGACAGCATAGGTCCAGGTGTAACACACGACAGGCAATGGCGTCCTGAGGAGGAGGTGACAGCACAGGTCCAGGTGACAACACACGACAGGCGATGGCGTCCGGAGGAGGAGGTGACCGCACAGGTCCAGGTGATAACACACGACAGCCAATGGCGTCCTGAGGAGGAGGTGACAGCACAGGTCCAGGTGACAACACACGACAGGCGATGGCGTCCTGAGGAGGAGGTGACAGCACAGGTCCAGGTGTAACACACGACAGGCGATGGCGTCCGGAGGAGGAGGTGACAGCACAGGTCCAGGTGACAACACACGACAGGCGATGGCGTCCGGAGGAGGAGGTGACCGCACAGGTCCAGGTGTAACACACGACAGGCGATGGCGTCCTGAGGAGGAGGTGACCGCACAGGTCCAGGTGATAACACACGACAGCCGATGGCGTCCGGAGGAGGAGGTGACAGCATAGGTCCAGGTGATAACACACGACAGGCGATGGCGTCCGGAGGAGGAGGTGACAGCACAGGTCCAGGTGACAACACACGACAGGCGATGGCGTCCGGAGGAGGAGGTGACCGCACAGGTCCAGGTGACAACACACGACAGGCGATGGCGTCCGGAGGAGGAGGTGACCGCACAGGTCCAGGTGATAACACACGACAGGCGATGGCACCCGGAGGAGGAGGTGACAGCACAGGTCCAGGTGACAACACACGACAGGTGATGGCGTCCTGAGGAGGAGGTGACAGCACAGGTCCAGGTGACAACACACGACAGGCGATGGCGTCCTGAGGAGGAGGTGACAGCACAGGTCCAGGTGACAACACACGACAGGTGATGGCGTCCTGAGGAGGAGGTGACAGCACAGGTCCAGGTGACAACACAC